AACGAAAACAGATAGCATCCTCCCATACACTTAGCACACTCCGCCTCCTCCTCCTCCTCCTCCTATTTCTCTTTCCATTCCTCCCGATCGCGCGTGAACACGCGCGTATCGTGTGTACCGGGTGTCCCAAAATGTCGAGAACTTTCACGGTTCCGCCACTCTGGCCACCATTGTGTTACAACATACACGGTTTATACTTGTTCTCGTGTGTGTCTCGCGCAAAAAATTTCTTTTATATCGATAGTTAATAGTTTAAATTAATAAATTATTTGGTTTATCACGCGCTTCCGAGCGTCCTGGCACTTTTCCTCTTTTTTCTTCTTCCTCTTCTTCTTCTTCTTCGTCTTCTTCTTCCTCCTCCTCTTCTTTTTCTCCAAATTCCTCCGTTCTCCCATTCAGTTCTCACTCCGTGTCTCTTCCCGGGAGGGGAAACGACGTGGCGCGCGACACACCAACATTATCGATCGACACACCACCGAACCAACTCCGTCGATTTCGATTTTTCAACCGAATTTCTTCCCCCCCCTCCTCTCTCTCTCTTTCCCTTCCTTCCCCCTCTCGTAATTAATCCGCACAAACAACGCGTCCGTTGATACAACTCATAGGCGGGTCGCTGGTTGGTCGTCGTCGCGCTCTGCCGTCGTCCAGGATGGTGCGGGGTGCGGAGCATCATCACCCGTCGCACAAGACACGTTCACACGGCCCCTTCGCCCATCCACGGAGCACTACGCCTCGAGGGACAACGCCTTGCACGGGCCCACCAACGGCCTGGGCGACGGGGACGGCGACTTCTTCGACAGGTTCAACGGTTGCTGGCTGTCCGCTATGTCCACCTGCAGCTCCATCATGTTGCTGGGGCAGCCGGACAACACGAGGGTCGCCGCCGTACTCGAGGCGGGCCGCGGACTCGTGCTCGTACTACTCGTCGCCGCCGCGGACAGGTACCTTGGCGACGAGGCCGGCGAATTGCCGACCATGAGGTAGTCCGAGGAAGACTGTTGCTGCTGCTGTTGCTGCTGTTGCCGGGCGCCCGTCGTCGTCGTGATGACGGACGTGGCCGGCCACCTGGTCGTCGAGTAGTTGCTGGTCGCGCACTGCAACAAGCCTTGAGATCCTTGGGGCGATCGCGCGGTGATCGTGGTGGTGGACGCGCACTGCTCCGCGGGCGAGGGCGAGGCGTTCGGCGACCTGGGGCTCGCCTCGCCCCTCATTATGTAATTGTGAATGATATCGGTGCGTTTCAACTGCTCGGCCGTCATCCGTGGCCCCTCCATCAGGCTCCTCGCCAGGGTCGAGTGGGTGCTGCTCAACAGGCTCGCCGTCTGGGGACACTGGCTCGCCTGCTGCGCCTGGCTCGACGGGCTTCGCGCCGGAGGCGAGGTCAAGTGGAGATGGAGCTGGGACTGCGTGTGCTGCACGATCACCGCTGGCTCGGCCTCCGCGCTGTCCTTCTGGCGGAGGGCGCGGAACTTCTTGTGCGGCTTGTACGCCTCGTCCATCAGAGAGTTGGTGTCGTACAACGGGGGCGCCTGCAGCACCCGCTTCAGCACCGGCATGTCCTCCACCTCCTTGTCCTCGGACCGGGGGCTCGAGCAGACCGAGGTCGGGGCGCTGCTCGCGCTGCTGCTCGCCGGTTTGTCAGCCTTCTCGGTCCCCGACTCGATGCCGCTGTCGCTCGGCGAGTCGAGCTTGCGGAATCGGGGGCATTGGGGCGGTTGGGGGGTTTTCGAGAGGGAGGCACGGTGGAGCTCGTCGTCCCCCGAGCTGGTGCTGCCCGAGTTCGCTCGTCGGCGATGGGGGCAGAGGCCGCCGGCCAGGGTGGCGGCCAGGAGGGGGGCGCTGGACGCGTGGTGTCCGCTTGGCGGGGCCACGTGGTGGTACTCCGTCAGGGAGGCGACCTCCCCGCTGCAGGTGCTCTCGGTACTCGACACGCTGCCCAGAGGACTCTTCACAGCCTCGTCCAGGGTGACGTCCGAGGCCGATCCCCAGGACGCCGCCGGCTCCTCCTCCATAGGCCAGTGTTGCTGCTGCTGCTGTTGTTGCTGCTGCTGTTGTTGTTGTTGCTGCTGCTGCTGCTGCGGTTGTTGAGCGTTGATCACGTGCTGCGTTTGCTGTTGCTGGTGCTGTTGCTGGGCCTGCATCTGTTGCTGTTGCTCGGTCATCTTGAACGCCAACAGTTTCTCCGAGTGGAGGGTGTTCAATGTCCTCAGGTCCGGGATCTTTTTCAACAATTCCCTGAGGATGTCCGGATGCTGGGGGTGGTTCTGCGCGAGGACCGTTTGGAGGGCGTTCCGCAGCTTGTTGTGCATGCGCTCGACCAGCTCGGTGTTGCGCAGACCGGGCCTGTCGGCCGCGATCACGACCACGGAACAGAAGAGGCCGAGCTCGGCGTCCGACAACCGCAACGAGTTCACCCTCTCGGCGAAGTCGAACATCGAGTCCATTAGGAAACGGGCGTTGCTACTGTTGTGGATGGATTCGCGTTTCAACACCTGCCCGTTCAGGCAGATCATGCTGTTCGTTTGGGCGTCGAACATGCAAGCCAGCCGGACAAGCAACACCTCGAACACGCCCGCCTTGAGCAGCGTCACTTGATCGTCCTGCGCCAACAGGCTGAATCCGGGAATGCGTTTCGCGAATTCTACCACGCCACGGATCGCGGGCGAGAACCTCTTCGAGAAATCTTGCAGCAGCTCTTGCTGGCCAGTCAACGGCTGGGGGTTAGGGTTCAGGGGGCATGCCTGCAACCGCAAAGAAACAGAGACGGGTCACAGATTAGACGGATCGGAGGAAAAAGCATGGACAAAAGATTATTCTTCCAGTCGCGCGCGATTGGAGAAGAAGAAGAAGAAGAAGAAGAAAGAAAAAGAAAAAAAAAGAGCTGGTCTTCCTCGTTTGGCGTCGAGGTCGACTGGTTCGATTTCCGCGTAGAACGGAGCGATCTCGGATGATCCAAGGTCCGTTTCGTATTGACGTAAGCGATAATAAAAATCTAGAGAGACCGAAAAATGCAGAGTCTCGAAAAAAAGGAGCAGAAAAAACGGCGATAAAAAATCAACAGAGAGAGAGAGAGAGAGAGAGAGAGAGAAGAAGAGTTGCGGAACGGG